GATTTGTAATTTTACAGTTCTTACCCCAGGTAGCTCAGCGTATCAAGAGATGCCTTAATGACATACGATTTAAAGTGTACCATAAGACTGGTAGAACATTGAGCAATTTTTGTTCAAGAAATACATGCCCACTAACTTGGTAAAAACGTTAAATGTCGTATAGAGAGTCCTGAACGAAGACTGAGGTAAAATGTACATTGGAAAGTCCTACCAAAATTTGAATATCCGATCAAAGGGCACCTATCTGCGGTTCACCTTGAACAAGCTGACGGTTCCGGTATTGTCCAGCATGCAGTCTTTAGACAAAGACCATTTATTCTGTTCAATAAATAGACATCCTCTGTGGTTATTAATGAAGGTTGGAGCTCATTCACGAATTTGACTCGCAAGACCAGGTCGGTGTAACAAAGATCCTATTGCGCTTTGATTTTGAACGTGTACTTAGTATCGCGTTTGTTAATTAACATTCTGGTTTTATGTCGGTCAGGCGGTTGATAATTGCTTTGTTTGTTAAGTTTGTTTCAGTCGGGAAACAATAGTAAAATTTGCTTGCTGGATATAAGTCCTTCAAACAGCCATTTGTACTCAGCCTTGATGATGCTACGATGTATGCAGCGAAACGTGTTGGCAACTAAGCTTTCATTATTTGCAATGTTTGGCTTTCTGAACCATGAATCGGTCAGTCACCCGTTGTTCATAAAATCGTGTTGGCTTTTTATTACCATGACTACCAACACAAGAACAAAACTCTGTGTTAAGGTGCAACTTATTAGCGTTAACTGCTCATTGATTTCGCTCATTTTGCATTTGCTGTCGAAAACCACAAATTAGACATCGGTGCTGCGGTGTCAAAACGGTGGTTACGAAAACGCTGTTATGAATCGTCTGCTAAATTGTGCTTAACGGCCGAATACTGCCGAGTCGGTAACGGCAGAGGCCACTTCCGATTGCCCGTTTCAGCGTTCGCGTGGAGGGTGCTTCGCTGCGAGGTGGTTGGAACGCTGACACAACCAACATGCGGTTTGTATGCCGTTCTGCTCAGGTGGGGAACAGACGCAGTTTTGATCGCAAGCTGAGCCGTATTTTCGCAATGATTTCTACTCGACAGTCCTTGACAGCTTCATGCAGTTCTATTCGAAATGCAGATCGAAGCCGGTGATAATTGCTAGCGTGCCAGTTTTTTGGTCACCTCTCTAGTGTCCCCTGCCACGAGTATCTGTCTGTCAGCGCAGCATTTCATGTAGCACGAGTTAAACGGACGAAAGAGCAGGTGCCGCCCTCGACCAAGGCGCGAAAGCAAAGGAATCGTTGAGCATCATGCGAAGACATGTACAATCGAAATTAGCACGAAACGCCAACCCATAAACTGCAGGGATTTTTTCATCAGGGTCTGTATGCTAGCGATTTCTTCAAAGTCCTACATTCAGCATCTGCGCACTTCAAGAGGTTATTAAGTGTTGCGCACTTCAAGAGGTCATTTTCGTATAGTTTACAAATATATCACTGGGTCACGAATGAGAAGGTGCTAAAGACGAAGTCTGAGAAAAAAATCAAATGAACTCAAAATCCGGTGCCTGGCTTAGTATTATAAAACGGCCCTAAATGCAAATGCAGATCGTCTAAAAACGTTTCTCCCACCACAACC